GTTTTTTGGCGATTCGCATGTCCCCACCCTCCACTCCCTTTATTTATACTTTTCATTACACCTCATGGGTGGGCCCTCTTTTATTACAGGCCTACCACGACGTCGGTTCCGGCACACCACAACCGACTTATTCCCCTCCCCTTTTTTATTTCCTTTACGGCCTTATTTGCCCCTCACACAACTAAATAAATATATATTATATATATATATATACACACACATACTTTAAGTTTGAGTATCAAAAATATGTAGATTTTTTTAATTTGGATGAGGAAAATATTCACCTTATGTTTGTTGTACAGGAGCGTAAGTTTTATAGCAGCATATGAAAAATACCTTAGTTACCTATAAACAAATAAAAACTCAAAACTTGTGCCCCCCCAGTCTTAAAATGATTGCAAGCATACCCAGTTCCTGAAACTGCATTTTTTTTTATTTATTTTTTTAAAGGACACTCCAAGCACCATGAGCACTGCTTTGAAGTGGACATGTGTGTGCAGCGTTTTAGCATGAAATACTGTGCATACGAGGATATTTACAGTTGCTGCCAGAGGTGTAACTCCAGCAGTTTTCATTACCCAGTGACTGGCAAATTATAACATAGTTCTCAGATAACGCTCTCTCAGCCAATGAATGGCAGAAACCGCATCCGACTTCTGCAGCTCTTCTGAAGGGATAACAGAAGGCTCCATGAACCAAAAACAGTTTGACCCTATTTAGAGAATGGTGACATGCACCATAACCACTACAGTAGGCTGCGGTATTTATTGACTCTTGGAGTAACTCGTTAAATTGCACGTTTTCTGCTAATTATTTCTCTTTATGGAAACGCAATGCCATCTTGTAAGTTGCATGGGCCTTGAGCTGAGCCTTTGTCCACTTACCTTGAGGACAGTTAGTCTGTTACAATGTTTTTGCAAACTGGCCATCATGCAAATTCTTATAAAGACTCTTGTATGGTGGTTTCTTGGGTAATTCCAAACCCCTCTCACCTGGATGGCTTCAGTGAGAAACCACACAAAAACAAAACTATAACGAGCACAAGAATGCGGTTGTACCACAGTGCTATGGAGTTTTAATGAAAGTCATACAAAGTTATTGTTTTGGGATGATGCCCTTTATCAGTGTAAAATTGCATTAGGGGTATCGCCCCTAAACATTTCAAACTCTGGATGTCCTTTATTAAAACTCCACAGCACTTTTTGTGCATGTATTTTCTCTTTTGTAGGTTTGTGGTTTTCTGCTGTGAGTACAACAGTGTTGTATGAACTTTAAGTGCACATTAGCGATTTTTTTTTCTAACTTGTTTTTAGGTACTGCAGTATCCTAACCTCTGCTTTTTTTGCATTTTGTATTTTTTAAATTTTAATTGAGAAAGCAGTCAGCAAGTTCTAAAAGGACCCGATTAGTAAAAAAAAAACAAAAAAAACGCTGTTAACACACCGTTTGTCTAGATCACGTTAGCATCAATAGTGAGCGCACAGCAGGAATTTGCTGTGTGATATAGGTTGTTGATGCCATAATCCCTTTTCCCTGCCCTACTTAGAAAAATAATTAAAGCTATGTTTTCAAAGTACATTTAAACAAGACTGGAGCTGCTCTGGGTAAACCCATTAACTATTAAAATTCCAAACATGGCTCGTCCTTAAAGATAAACTATAGTGCAAGGAAAACAGTTTTTAACCCCTTCACATAGAGGGATGCCCTACTCTGGTGCGTATGTCCAGGTTTGGGTAAATTTCCCCTAACAGAAATGTGCACCAGAGCAGGGAATCCATCTAATCTATGTTCGGGGAACGTTGCCTGAACATAGATTTGAGGGATTCCCTGCTTTGCTGCGCTTGTCTATGTTCGGGGAAACTTCCCCGAACACAGACCTGCACTGGTGCGCATGCTCTATAGTGCATCGTCACTTACCGACCAATTCGTTTTACAAGTCGTAAGAATGGAACCCGATCAGTAAGTGAGGAGTGTCTGTACCATGACAAAACATGATCTTTAAAGTCCCTTGGTGTCAGGGGAGGGCTGGCAGCCTTAGGCCTGGGGGGCAAAACCAGTCAAGTGACCCATTGCACCACCAAATCAGTTCACCATCCATGCCCACCTTTTCCTGGTTTTATAACGGATATTGATGTTATGCTAATCAGTAGCTCTTTGCCATACCCGCTCCTTCACGGCTCCAGGCACTGCTTGTTGTGAGTGTGAGCCACTGTAAATTAGGTGCAGAGGGCACTTGCACTGCGGTAAAGATGGGGCTGGACAGGAGGAGAGTGCAGTGCAATCAGTGCACTCCCCTCCTGTGGGTCACCAGTAGACTGGTGCACCTGCCCAGGATCAGAGCCGGTGCAAGGATTTTTGCCGCCCTAGACAAAATAAAAATTTTCTGCCCCCACATGTCACATCACAATGCCCCACCCATATGATCTGCCATATGAACTAACGCCAGTGCTGCACACAGTGTGTGTTTACATTAAAAAGCCTGCAGGGACCAGCTATAGACACCAGAACCACTTCATTAAGCTATAGTGTCCCTTTAATGTGAGGTACATTATAGATTAGTGTCACTAATAATATACTAGATTGCCTACTTACAAGCAGATGAGGATGATGATGGGCTGCAGTTTGGCTCCACTGGTCTGGTGTAGAACAGGATCTCTGGAGGCTGTTTGCAGCTGTGGTCACAAAATTCAATGTTCTGGGAGAATTGGAAGCAGCTCCATTTTTTGGGGGCCCCTTACACAGCTCAAGGTCTGGGCCCCAGGGCCTGACGGTGAGTATGCCCATAAGGCCCACTCATAAGTTCCACCCACCCATGAGTTCGCTCACAGGGAGTGGAGTGTGTGGGGGATGTGCTATGTGTTATTGTAGAGGATCTAATATGTGTGCTTATGGTATGTAGTGTATAGGGTTACCAGTTTGTGCAGGTGATGCAGTGTGTTTGTGTGTAGTGGAAGCAGTGTGTATTTGTGTATAAGGATGTATTATGTGTTTCTGGTTGTGTGTAAGGGATGCATTGTGTGAATCTGTGTTTGTATGCATAAGGGATGCAAGGTGTGTGTCTGTATGTGTGTGCATGAGATGCATTGTGTTTCTGTGTGTATGTAAGAAAAGTGTGTGTGTTTGCATGCGTGTGTACGGGTTTGCATTGTCTGTTTCTGTGTATGTGTGCAAAGGATGCATTGTCTTTGTGTGTAAGGGTTGCATTGTGTGTGTGTGTGTGTAATGGATGCATTGTGTGTTTCTCTGTGTGTAAGGGAAGCATGTTGTGTTTCTGTGTATGTATAGGGATGCATTGTGTGTGTGTGCGCGCGCGTAGTGTGAAAGAGCTCCCTGTCTTGGCCCCTGTCCTATAGAGCTGCCCCTTCTGTCCCGTAGAGCTCTCTCCTGCACCTTAGTGGTCTCTCCTCTCCCCCACCCTCCCCTAGCAGTCTCTTCTCACAATCACCCACCCTCCCTGTGCTCTTCTCACTCCTCCCTCTATTGTTCTCCTCACCCCCCCTGTGTTTGTCTTACCCCCCTCCTCCCTGTGTTCTTCTTACTCCCCCACCTGTTCTTCTTAACCCCCCTTCTTATTGCTCCCCCTTCTTCTTCATACTCCCCCTTTTCTTATTCCCCCTCTCCTTCTTACTCCGCCCTCCCCCTTTTCTTATTCCCCCTCTCCCTCTTACTCCGCCCTCCCCCTTTTCTTATTCCCCCTCTCCCTCTTCTTACTCCCCCCTCTTCTTCTTCTTACTCCCCCCTCCCTTACTCTTCTTACTCCCCTTTACTCTTCTTACTCCTCCTTTTTCTTCTTACCCCCCTCTTCTTACTCACCCCTTCTTCTTCTTACCCCCCTCTTTTTCTTATCTCCCCTCCTGCTTACTCCCCCTCCCCCTTTTCTTACTCCCCCATCTTTTTCTTACTCACCCCTTCTTCTTCTTACCCCCCTCTTTTTCTTATCTCTTCTCCTTCTTACTCCCTCCCT